TCTAGCGGTTGAAGGACAACAAATAGAAATGCCGGAGGTAGGAGCTACGATTGAATTTAAGAATCATTTTAAGAAACTGAAAGCGCCTTATGTCATATATGCAGACTTTGAATGTCTAACAGTACCCATTGATGTTAAAAGCAAATCGACAAAAGCGACAACCACATCATATCAAAATCATCGTCCTTGTGGTTTTATGATTAATGTAGTCAATGCCATCACTGGAAGCAATGAGCCCTATTTATACAGAGGCGAAGATTGTATGGATAAGTTCGTTGAGAAAATGAATGAAGTCAGAGATGATGTAATAAAGAAAATGAAGGAAGTGAAAGAGATAATCATGACTGAGGACGATAAAACAGATTTTGACACTGCTACTAAGTGTTTCGTTTGTGGAAAGGGCTTTCAGGAAGGGGATAAAAAAGTTAGAGACCATTGCCATTTTACTGGTAAATATAGAGGTTGTGCTCATGATGATTGTAATCTTGCTTTCAGTATGAGATATTATAAAATACCAGTCTTTCTTCATAACCTTAAAAACTATGACGCTCACTTAATCATCAACAAGGCACACGAACTGAGCAAGAATGCTAAAATCGATTGCATCGCACAGAACAGCGAGAAGTTCATAACCTTTGGTTTTAAAAACCTTTGTTTCAAGGACAGTTTTAGCTTCTTATCGTCTTCGTTGGATAAGTTGGTAAAGTTGAGTAAGTATGAAGATGATAAAAGGCGTGAGAACTGGAAGAACAATTTTAGATACAGTGTTAGAAATCCATATGTTAAAACCGATGAAGATTTGGACTTGTTGACTGACAAGGGGATTTATCCTTATGACTATTTTGATAGTTTTGACAGATTTACTGAAAGAAACTTACCATCAAAAGAAGCGTTCTACAGTAAATTAAGTGAGGAACATGTCAACGACAAAGATTATGAAAGGGCACAAAAGGTTTGGAAACACTTCGGTATCAGAACATTAGGACAATATCACGATTTGTATTTGAGAACCGATGTTTTATTATTGACTGATGTTTTTGAAAACTTTAGAGACTTATGTATGGAATACTACGGTTTGGACCCCGCTCATTATTATACACTTCCTAACTTCGCTTGGGAAGCTATGTTGTTGAAAACAGGTGTTGAAATTGAACAGTTACACGATAAAGAAATGTATGAGATGGTTGAACAGGGAATGAGAGGAGGTATGTGTCAGGTCAGTCATAAACTGGCTGAGGCAAACAATAAGTATATGGATGAAGCCTTCGATGAAAACAAGCCGTCAAGTTATATCAATTACTTAGATGCTAACAATCTGTATGGTCTGGCGATGTCTCAAAAATTGCCTTTAAAGAACATCACATGGACAAAGAAAACACCTAACATTGAAAAGTGGGATGAAAAAGATGAGTATGGTTATATTATGGAAGTTGATTTGGAATATCCAGAAACACTACATGACTACCATTCGGACTATCCACTAGCACCGGAAATAATGAATGTCAATGCTAATATGTTGTCAGACTATCAAAAGGAAATCTACAAAATCTACTATGGAAACAAAGAACCGAAGGATGAGAAAACCAGCAAGTTAATATTAAATTTGAAAGATAAAGAAAAATATGTTGTTCATATCAAGACTTTACAGTATTATCTAAAAATGGGTATGAAACTCACCAAGGTTCATAGGATAATAAAATTTCAACAGAGGGCTTGGTTGAAGCCGTGGATTGACTTCAACACAGGCAAAAGGAAAGAAGCGAAGAGCGACTTTGAGAAGGATTTGTTTAAATTAATGAATAACGCGGTGTATGGAAAAACTATGGAAGACAAAAGAAAACATATGGATTTTGAACTGGTAGATAATGATGTTAGGTATGAAAAATGCGTGAATAATCCTACTTTCAAAAATAGATTTATCATTAATGAAAATCTGGTAGGAGTGGAAAAGACAAAGTCGGTCTTGAAACTTGATAAACCTATATTCTTAGGAATGACAATTTTGGATTTGAGTAAATTACATATGTATGAGTTTTACTATGGTGTGTTGAAAAAGAAATACAACGAAAATATCAAATTGATATATACCGATACTGACAGTTATGTAATTCAAACCTTCACTGATGATGTCTACAAGGATTTTCAAGGTATCAAGCAACATATGGATTTTAGTGATTATCCTGTTGAACATCCATGCCATGACACAACAAATAAGAAGGTCTTAGGAATGTACAAAGATGAAGTCAACGGTAAAATCATTACTAGATTCATCGGGTTGAAACCTAAATCCTATGCTTTCACAATCCACGGCGAGGATGAGGAACACAAGAAATCAAAAGGTGTAGTCAAGCACAAGGTGAAGAAGGAACTGACCTATCAGAACTATCACGAAGCACTGCATCACAACAAAAAGCACGAAATCTCCTACAACTTCATCAGGAGCAAAACACACCAAATATATTCAATGTCTCAAGTCAAGCAATCACTCAGTAATTATGAAAATAAAAGGTTTTATATTGATGCTTTCAATTCAATCCCGTATGGGCACTTTTCCATAAAATAAATATCTAAATAATTCTAATAATATGAAATTATTAGAATTATTTAGTTGTCCAGCATCACCAGCAACCAGCATCAACAGCGTCAAGAACAGCATCGTAGGCGTCAGCCTTATGAAAACACAAACTGTGGTAATCTCTTATCCAAGGTCTTGGCAGGTATACGTATTCATCAGCCACCATTCGCTCCCTGCCACCTTGGATAAGTGATTCAACAAATGTGAGGGTTGAGGAAGACCGCCATTAGACGCGTGTGAGATGCATCACCAGCATATTCTCTGCATCGACCAATCAAATCAGCACTGACGGTTGCTTTCCTATTTGGGGTTTGGGTAATTCATCTCGTTGAGCAACCGTCAGACCTGCCTGTGTGTTCCCTACGTTGATGCCTGTTGCCTTTGAGGGGGTGTTTGGGCAATTATTGGACACGGGACGGGGTATAACATCAAAAGGGTCTCCGTTTCATCAAACAGCCGTGTCCAATAATCCACCCATGGGTCATAGAGGGAGAATAAACAAAGAAAGAGAAATATGAAGCCATCAGAATGGTTCACTCGGTCTTTTTCCACTCTCTGCAACCTTGGTCTGTGACTGACAAAATCCTATTGCAACTCCAAGCACTGCCACCCCGTCATCAAGCCAGTAGAAAAGGTTATTTCTGGTTTGCTTTGTGGTTTTCAGCTCTACATGGTGAGGACTGTTGAAATGGTCAATTTATGTGGGTTGTGCGGGTTTTTGCTCTGCGTGGTGTGGGTTTTTGCTCTGCGTGGTGTGGGTTTTTGCTCTGCGCGGTGTGGGTTTTTGCTCTGCGTGGTGTGGGTTTTTGCTTTGATTTGGGGGGATTACTGCAATGCTTTGAGAGACTTCATGCAGTGGCAAATGAGCTCACACAATGACACAACGATTGTCATCGGGTGGTGGGGCAACTGCACGCCTAGTCATGGCTGACGCCACTTCCTTAATGAACCTCTGCCATGCAATCCCTCCATTCTGGTCTGTGTATTCACAATGAATGGAATACTGAATTGCAAAAATCAAAGCCCTCCTTGCGAGAGCTTCTTGACGATTCAACGCATCAAGTCCTTCAAACACTGGAGATAGGAGGTGCTCACCGATAAATGCGACTCTCTCAGTAGGTCTGCGGGAAACCGTCAAGGTGGTAGAGACAATCAGGGACATCTTCTCCACGGGAACGCTGGGAAACAGCGAGCTGACATTGTGCTCAGGGTCATTCCTTGCCTGTTCCATGATGCTGTCAATTTTCGTGAGGGTCTCCTGAACAGCCGGAGCGATGTTCTGCATTGAGCGAAGCTGCACAACCCCCTCACACACCAGCTGACGAAGTTCTTTGGGTGAAGCACCAGCAGGATTCTCGTCTTCATCGGCCCTTGCTCTCTTGGGTTTCCCTCCTCCAAAGCCACGAACCACCGCCTGAAGAACGACTGAGTTGTCGATATCGCTTTCGATGAGCAAAGCGTCGTCCAGCAAATCAAATCCAGCTTTTTGAAGACGAAGAGAGCGGACAGCCACTCCCCACTCATTCGTGAGAAGAACCTTGACCATAAGCACGGAATAGTTGGGAGCGACCACGAACGACTTGAATGTTGGTGGGGACCAGCATTTCTGAACTGTCAAGGAGAACATGTCATTGTCACTGTCATCAGGAGGAAGGGGAACAGGCTGAAAGCCACCCTGGTCATTGTCTTGGTCATCTCGGTCATCTCGGTCATCACCTCCACCACTGAAGCCCCTGTCGCCTGAACCACTGCTCTTGTCGCTCCTGCCCTTGCTCACACCAACTCTGTTCTTCTCATCCACAACCTCTGTCCAAACTTCCGTGAGCAACTCTGTAATTTCCTCCTTGGTGTGTCTTTTCTTGACATCATGACGCCTTGGAACTAGCTGAAGCAAATCGGTACGGCTCAGCTTCAACAAATCTACCTTGTTGAGTTTCCATGGCTCACTGGCGATGACACTGAAGACATCGCCGCTCTCCACGAAGAAGGGCACGAACAAGAAGTCTTTCTCTATGAAGACTAAGGAAGGCATGGCTTACCAAGAACAGGACACAAGCAACTACCGAATTGAGTGAGTCAAAGGCTGGAGGCTCGCAGTAACAAGCTGACGGTTCTCTTGGAATGGCTTCCACAATCAAACACACTGCTGATATTTTACACGATGACGCGAGCACAATTGACTCATGTCTTGAAACTCTTGTTTTCTCATGGCTAGGGCGAAGACGTGTGTGTTTGGTGAAGTCACGCACGGAACTGACACATAGTGTCTGACATCATGCTTTTGTCCTTCAACTCCTGCACTGATGAGTGAAGGACAGTAGAGCAACATCCCACACGAGAACATATAAACATTTTAGCTATGCATTCAACAGTTGTTGTTCTACAATCAAAACTGGTCGTGAGCCTCGCTCATTGACATTGTCAATCAGCTCTGTTCCTCACCATCCGTCTCCTCGTCCACCTCCGACCCTTCAATCATATCGTTGTCGTCGTTGTTCTCAACGACAGTGTCGGTCAGCAACTCCACCGTCACCTCGTCGTTGTGCTCAAAGCCGAGGGTGTAGAGAAAGGTCCATTGAGACGCATTGTCAGAAAGGGGTTGCCCATTGCGAAGCATCTTGATGGCGGCGTTCTTCTTCCAGTTCAACTGATGGACAACCATCTGACGCACTGTACCAACCCGGTTGTTTCTCTTAACGTTGATGACGAAGCGGTTGCCCTCGTGGATGATGACCAAAGCAATCCATCGTCTTTTGTCGGCTTTGACGTCATCGCTTTCCTTCTTGGTGGACGGGTCAGACTTCTTGTTCTGATTGTCAATCTTGTTCTGGACTTGCTTGGTGGACTTGATGCCCTTCATCTTCTCCTTCACCATAGTGATATGCTCCTCAAACTTCTTGGCGACCTCGAGCTGGTCGGACAGACTGAGAGCCTTGAACAACTTCGCTACCTCATCCGGAGAGACTTCGGAATTGGACGGGTCGAAAGCATTGGAGCTTGTAGCCTCTGGGTCGTGCTCACTCTCATCATCGGGATAGCCGCCCTGCTTCTTAGGAAGAACCTTCTTGTCATTCTTCTTGGGGGCCATCGCTTACAATGGGGCAAAGGGAAAGGACGCTGAGGCAACAATCTCAAAGGATCTATTTTGATGGATGGCGAGAAGCGTCCAATAAAGACACGCTCACACTGCTCAAGATTGTCAAGCTCAATGAACCTGTACCAAACTGACCGGTTGACAAACCACAACAACCGCCCAAAAGCCAACCCATGAAACCACAGAAAGTCCTATCCTCTTTCAATCAATAAAACTAAAAGTTGAAATCTGGAACGAGACAGGGGACCAAATCATCAATTCGTTACCACATCCATATCGTTATTTCATGCCCCCAAAATCAGCCTTTTAAAAACGGATAAGGTGGTTCACGCGTTGAAATGTGAAAAAGAAAACAGAACAGGCAACCATCTACCCCCCACCCCCTAGGACAAGCCTTTTCTACATTTTTTTGGGGGGGGTCCGCCTTTCAAAACCTTTTCTGGCCACACCCAATGCCCCGTGCGACACCTGGGCGTCCGTGCAACCCTGGGGTAGGTCCAAGAGGGCAGTTGGACTTGAAACCTTTGCCGGTCATCGCAGCATGAAAGTCTTACTTTGCTGAGCAATGCATTCAGATTTTGAGACGCTTTTGGGAACCCTGTTGCTTCACATTCCCAGAAGTGGGGCCAAAAGCAAAGCGCTCGCTTCAACACGCTCACATGTTCCCCCAGCTCCGATCCTTCAGGGACAGGCTCGGTGAAAGCGAGAAGAACGCTTGAGCAAGCGGACCAACCAGAAACATGGAACATGCACTCCCTCCGTCTGATGTTTGTCCGCTATGTCATGAGGACGCTTTGATTTATGATGCTCAAAACAAAAGCGGCGGGGGCCGCAAACGGCACGGAGTTTGGGTTGGGTCTTTGGGACTATGGCTTGCCGAAGCCGAGGCGAAATGCGAAATTTAGGACAGAGCCAAAAAGCAAAATGGGTTTGGTTAAAATAGGGGACCCACAACTGGTGGTTTCCTTTTTGTTTTCCTTCTGGTTTCCTTGTGGTGAAAAATGGAGGAGCCACAACCTTCACTCCAAATGAGAGAAGGGCACCCTCCACACCATATAAACCCTTGGGGCGATGGCCGGCCTTGAGGATCATCATGTATGGCGCTTGCAGTTTGGTCGCTACGGATTTCGTGCCACTGACGTGCCTTGGGATTGGATTAGATGGTGCCAACCTTTGGGGGGGGACACCGAACGAAAGGAAGAAACGAGCCGACGCTCGCCCTTTTTAACGAACAGCGAACCAGCTGTCCTTTGGCCCGATCAGAATGAGTCGATTCCAGCACGGCCAGCTTCAGGAGTTCATTGGATTCCGGCCCTTTTGGCTTAGAGGGTCGCTTGGCGACGGGGGATCATGGAAACCAGGGTGTTGGAAGAAAGCTTTCCTTTTCAGGCAGCCCCCCGACTTCCGTTGGGAAGAGGTAAAAAGCTGGGCTGTTCAGATTCGATCTTTTCCTTCCGTAAACAGGGGCCTATCTCTGTAGCGACTTGCAGGGAGTGTGGAGTGCAATGGGCCACTCTTCTCCACTTTTCCGTTTTTAACAGGCCAGAAAGCCGGGCTTGGCGCTATGAAGTTATGCACCACGGTGCCGTTGAGTCACAAATTGCCTTGCATCATCCAGGCACTTCCAGGGTTATGCGCGCGATGACCCCACACCAAAGTTCTGTTACCATCCTGAAAAAGACACGCCCCCAGCTTTAGGAGATTCTACACATGGGTTGTTTGACCTTCTCCTGTTCTGCAGTCTCATGGGGAATTGGGTTTAGGTGTCCATGAGAAATACTTCACCAGCGGTCCATCTCCAGAAATCCCTCAAGTGCCCCTCTTTGGACCAAAGAGTGGCAACTGTGTTGGAACACACCAGTAAGCTGCAATGTTTGAAGGGAACTCCAATGACCCTTGACGTTCTGCGGCAGAAAGCGGCCTAAGCCCTTACGAAGGCCACACCAAGTGCTACATGGCCCATTTGCAATGTGTCAATCAACGGGTGCAGTTTGAATGTGGACGTGGACCAAGTCTTTGCGTGCCCAGAAAGGGAAACCACAATGTGTCTAGGCCTATTTGGCACCCATTCTCATTTGGAGGCCACCAGCAAGACATGCCCATGACTTTCTTTCTCAAATCTTCGGGTCTGTTTAGTTTTTGTCGGCTTCCCCACTGGACCTGGTCCCCTTTTCCTGTTTAGCGTCCTCCACCTCTTGGTCAACCCCCACCTGAAAATATATATTTATCGATTTTTGCTTGGCAGGTGCCCACAAAGAATACACTCAACCTCCCAGAGCAACCCTGGTCCTTCCCAAAAAACCTCCCACCACTGAGTCAACCCCATCAAAAAGTTGCCTCGCCTTCCGTTGGGTGTTCGGCGACGCGCCACCGTCCGGGGCCTGAAGTCAGGCCCCAAAACTGCGGCAGCATCGCTCTCTCGGGCCACGTCCTGTTGCTGATCTCGGTGCTTTGCCCCTTCAGCTCCGATCCTCAGCTAGAAATCTGCGAGAAAGATCCCAGATCTGCAGTGCCCGGTTTTATTTGATGGAGGGGGGGTTCCCCCATAAAGTGAAAAGGCTTTCCCTCCCGTAAAGTGAAAAGGGCTTGTTTTCCATGGCCGCTAGTAGTTGCTATTTAGCTGCAATGGCTCACTGGCTATGGCTCTGAAGCATCATGTGGGCTACATGTGCCATGGATAGGCTTCCAAGCCCCCGCATGCCCGCGAAATGCGCCCTTGGTTCTCTCAAAGTCCCGCGTTGCAAGTGAAGGAAGCCCAAATTTCTGCGGCTTGCGCCAGATCTTCAAGTTTTCCAGTGGTCTAGTTCAAAACCTGGCAATGCAAAACAGTTCCATTTGGGTGTTTGTTTTTGAAAGTAAAAGTTTGGGTAACATGAATACTGTGCGGGTCTTTGCTTCAAGGGATCCCCCTTTCAGGTTGGGTAGGGCCAAAGTATCTTGCCTGCGATCCCAAAGGTTGGGCCTTGGCATGGTCCTTTGGCAGGACTTGACTCAGGGTCTCCATAATGATTTCATATAGGGTCTGAATCCGTTCCCTTTTTTGTGGGCCAGTTTAGTTATGGGTCCCTTCAAGGGGACTTGAATGGATCATCCACTCTGGCTACTCAGAGGACCTGAATTGGATTCCCTTTTTTTCTTGGGCCTACATGTAAGTTATAAACCTGGCCGTTGGGATATCCCTGTACCTGTACAATCCAACCCATTTTGGTCGAACCAAAGATCAATGTGTGCATCAGGGTCCCTCAAAGATACGTCTGAGCCAATGAAACAACCACCTTGACCAGCTGATTGCTCTAGACCCACAGATCCCTCTTTGCCAGCTGGTTTCGAGTCGCCAAATCCTGGAGCCTTCTCCCCGAAGCCTGATTAGTTGGGTGGGGGAACCCGCCACTGGTGACCCATTTTCTTCTGGGCAACTGCCCAAAGCTTCCAAGCTTTCTTTAAGGATCCCATGGTTCCCAAGGTTTGCATGTTTTCGTGCAAAACCCCCAAAAGTTTGAGATCACCGTCTTTTCCTGTTTGACGAAACCCTGGGCGTTTGGAGATACCTCTCTTGCTTTCCGAGCTCAAACTCTACCCATCTCTTTCCTTGGCTCGCTTTTTAACGCAAAACAAAACCAAGGGTTTTGGCCCCCCGTGATGGACACTTCCAGGACCTCGAGTTCCTGATCATGGGCGGCGTCCGCGCGCTGCTGCGCGCCTTGGGCGGAGTCCTCCTGCTGGATCCCAAGAAGGTGCTGGGCTCCAACGTGGCACCTCGCCAGGAATCGAAATCCGGGTCCTTTTTTTTGATTTGCCACCTTGTCTAGGTCCCCCAGTAATGCCCTTTTAGGGCTCTACTGAAGTAGACTACAGGAAAAGGGGGCCCCTATTCTAACCTCTCTACTGGAGGACCTGGTTGTGTGAGAAAATAGGTCCACCCCCTTGTAGTGAAGGATTCCTTTTTGAGGGCGTCGCCCATTTGCTCACTAAAGGTGGCAAAAAGACCCCCCTGTTCGAAGTGATCCGAAGTGGTTGCAACACCTGGGTGACAAGACCAACATGTCTTGCTTTCTGGAAGAGAGGATGTTGTTCTCAATGTAGATTGCCTGTTGCCGTTTCCCCCCCCCCCCCCCCAACATAGGTTGCCAAAGCTAGAGCCACATTTGAAATGTCCAACCGAACAGTACCGTGGCCACCGCAAAAGGAGAACCAACGGCAAGATGTTTGACGCAACTTGAGGCTCGGTGAAAAGTGCCAGGCTAATCACGAATGTGTCCATTTCTTCTTGGCTGGTTGCAACATCTTGGGGCGCAAGTCGAGCATAATTTTTAGTTTTACCAAAAGGAACC